GTGGAAGGATACATATTTTTGGGAGACTGCGTCGTATAATACCGTTACTTGTCTTAATACTGACTACTCGGATCAAATTATCCTTGCCTGGATGCGTTTCAATAACGCGTCCAAGTTTCCATTGAAGCGGTAGAGTTTTTTCGTCCTTTAGAATCACGAGTGTACCTGGTGTGAGTTTATCGATAAATTCAGCCTTCTTCCACTTATTTCTAGCTTGGAGTTGCGACAAACATTCATTACTCCATCGAGACCAGAAGTGTTGAGTTAGGTTTATCAATAGTTGATAACGCGTTAATCTATTTGAAGCGACGTCTTGGAGATCTGGTTGAGGTATTGCGGTCAATGGAGCACCAATTAAAAAATGTCCGGGCGTGAGTGCGGTAAGATCATTTGGATCAGTTGACATTGCCGAAATTGGCCGTGAATTGAGACATGCTTCTATTTCAGTGAGAACCGTATAGAATTCCTCAAAGGATAACAAAGCATTGCCGAGAACTCGCTTCAAATGTGTTTTTGCTGACTTTATGCCGGCTTCCCATATTCCGCCCATATGAGGGGAATATGGTGGTATAAAGTGCCATTGAATAAACTGATCGGACAAATAATTCGAGATTTCTTGTTGGTGGTTTTTAGATTGCAACAATTTCGAAAGATCCCTAAGCTCATTATTGGCTCCGACAAAATTCGAACCATTATCTGAATATATATTTGAGCATTTGCCTCGTCGAGCAATAAAACGTTTTAAGGCATTAAGAAATGCGCTTGTGCTAAGATCGGTTGCTAACTCTAAATGTATTGCGCGTGTCGCTAAACATATAAACAAGCATAAATATGCTTTCGCCGTTTTGTTCCTAGATATCTTACTGCTAAACGGTCCGCCGTAATCTAGTCCTATATTGAGAAATGCTCTACTGGGTGTGACTCGACTTTCTGGTAGATTTCCCATCAATTGAGAAGGACTTCTTGCGGACAGACGGAAACACGTAATGCAAGAGTGCAGAACCCTTCGGACCGCGGATCGTGCGCCCAGTATCCAATATCTCTCGTTCAAATTACTCAGCAGTGCTAGTGTACCTGCGTGCAAATTTCTCAAATGTTCGTCTCGAATTATGAGTTTTGTAATATGACTTCTGGAAGCCAGTATGATTGGACATCTTCGTGTGTAAGGCAGAGGAGCGTACCGCAAGCGACCACCGACTCTTATCAATCCAGCATCGTCAATAAATGGATTGAGAGTGGATAATTTGCTAGTTGTTTGAATACTACGTTTCGCTGAGAGATCATGGAACTCACTAGAAAAATCTTGAGCTTGACTGAGTTTGAGGATGATCGTCATAGATCGGTTTAATTCTTCGACAGATAGAGCTGGAAT